ATTGGCCGCCCTCGGCGGCAGCAGCACCAGCGAGGGCATTGGCAGCAGCGGCGTCTCAAGCGGCGACCCGCGAGGGCCGAGTCCCCCGTTGGACGCCATCTCAGAGGATGCCATGGAGATGGACCTGGGAGTCGACCAAGGTAGCAGAACATGATCTTTATAGGTTCCATTATCATATATGTTTAAAACTTTGAAACCTAGAACAAGTGAGTTTGTCCCTGGATCATATGTGAGCATAGCGACAGCACTGGCTCGCTAACCGAGCAGTCAATCGACAAAGTCAGTGATGAACCACAGGCTGTCACTGTCAGGCAAAAGAATAATAATAAACTAAACTGTGCTGACCCTGGTTTCTCAAATCTCTGCTGGGTTTTGTTGCTTGTTGACAGTAGATGGGACACTTTGTGTTTTGGACTGTAGGTCAGACAAAACATCTGATGACCTCAGCCTGGGCTCAGGAAAACTGAGAGGAAATAATCCTGACGAGACCTCTCTGTAACGTCTCCACATGAACTAGTCAGACTGGGGTGGTTGGCAGTTTGACTCCACACCAGTCACATTTTAAATCCTCAGTTCAGAACCAAATTGCCAACGTCGAGCCTGTGAGGGGTTCCCTTGCTCACGTCTCGCTAGAACTCGTGTCTTCTGAGGATCAGAGTTGTTTAAGCAGTTGGTTTTGTCTTGCACACTTAAGTATTACGACAACTGATCACAAAATAACAAACATTGCAAGATTTCCTCAGTGTTTTCAAAGTCCACCTACTTCCAGTCTGAGACTAGTGCCGTCCCGTTCCTGCACTAGCATCGGGCTCTTCCACAGTCAACTCTGTGGTTCTCTGTAGTTCCAACAACTCCAGCAGAGTGAGGCGTCTTCACTGGTAAAACTCGTTTGATCTCAGATTAGTGATGGACCTGAGCACATTCTGCTGGATGGCGTTCACACAAATGTTATCAAGATTTATAGTCTGTCATCTTTGACGTTGCATAAACAAATCCTGTGCTTTCATTAGTGTTTTGTTTTCTCTTAACCCAAAGTACTGCCAGATGGGCAACGAGGTACATGTAGTTGCACCCCCACACCCCACCTGGTGGCTGTTGACATCGCCATCAGTCGTGGTGTTTTGCTGTAGACATTTTCTGATCCCAGTGTAATAGACACCACCTGTGTCTAATGTGGACTCAGTTCACCGTGGTCTCCGTGGATCAGTCTAGCCTACAGCTGTAGTCATGTGATGGTGGAGAAGCATGTGAGAAGGGGGCCTCAGGTCACATCCTCCACGCATCAGTATCTGTTGGCCGTTGTATGAATTCTCAGAGGCAGTGGCCAGGACGCTGCTTCGTTTCTTCACGTCTGTGGCTCCACCGCTGGCTCAAGTCAGCAGTGTGCTGTTTGTTTGTAGGCTGTGAGGTGGTGTGGCGGGCTAGTTCAGTCTGACCTCCCTGTTGTCTGCTTCCAGTGATTGACCCTGCAGTGGCCCTGAAGGCCTGCCAGGAGGTCCTGCTTAAGGTGAAGCTGCAGAACAGGGACGTGCCTGATCAGCAGCAGCTCGACAACAGACGACAACAGGATGGTCAGCAACAACACTACATAGATGTCACCGAGCGCACCAGTCCACAGCGGCACATCAGCCCGGATGCCGGCTCCATCAAAGAGGAAGATGAGGAGGATGAAAAGGAGGAGAGTTGTGTGAAGAAGGGACAGAGACAAGGTGCTGCTTCCCAGCAAGGCCTTCCTCCTCCATCTCATCCCGAGTCATCTCCAGGGCCACAATCAGCAGCAGCAGCGGCGGCATCATCTAAACAGTCATGGCTGCTACGCCTCTTCGAGTCCAAGCTGTTTGATGTCTCCATGGCAATCTCCTACCTGTACAAGTCGAAGGAGCCGGGTGTGCAGGCGTACATCGGGAACCGCCTCTTCAGCTTCCCCGACAGCGAGGTGGACTTCTACCTGCCGCAGCTGCTCAACATGTACGTGCACATGGATACAGAGGTGGGCGACGCCATCCGGCCATACCTGGTGAGTCCTCAGACCCCTGAACTTGTTGTCTTAACAGATTTCAACATTCACTTCTGATTGTGAACACCCCCCGCAGAAAGGGCTGGTTGTTAGCATGGCTAACTAGTTTAGAGCTTCACAGAACTAAGAGAGGCTAATGTTAGCATCTTAATAGTGAAATCCCAAGAGTTGGGAAACCAGCCCCCCTTCCTCGAGCTCCTGGCGGACTGGCCCTTACAGGGAATCCAAAGCCGCCACCATGTAGAGGTTTGAAGAAAGTCCAGACTTAGTTTTTGGCCATGTGACCCACCCCTAATTGAAAACTTATTTCAGGAGGCAGAAATGTGACATTGGTCATTGACATGTGATGGAAAGCCGTCCTCTTGTCTGTCTGTCAGATCCACCGCTGCAGGGGCAGCATCACCTTCTCTTTGCTGTCAGCCTGGCTGTTGGGCGCCTACTCCTCCGACATGCACATCTCCACCCAGCGTCACTCCAGAGGCACCAAACTCCGAAAGCTGATCCTGTCTGACGAGCTGAAACCTCCTGCTCCTTCAGCCGACGCTTCCAGGGCAGCTTCGGCTTCTGAAAGTCCAGTGTCCTCACCATTCCACCACCGCTGTCACCGCAGGCACAACAGCAGCAACATGGAGACCTCCACTTCCCCATGTGTCCCGTCCCCCGCTCCCTCCTCTGACAGCCCTGTACCCGGGGAGGCCGAGGTGTTTGCTTCCCCCTCCAGGAGGACCCACCAGAGATCCAAGTCAGACGCTACGATGGCAAACAGTGGGCCTGGCACTGGCCTCCGTCGGACAGGGAGCAACCCAAAGGTGGAGGCGGTTCACGAGGAGGTGAGGACTCTTTTACTGTGTTTTTATGATGAAACCCAGGAAGGGGGGAATCTGGGCACCGTCCATACACAAGCTTTACATAGTAAAACAGCATCAGACACACATTTCCCAAAAGGTAAAACCACAATATACAACACAAAAGTTAAAAGACAAAACGATAAAGAGATGACTGAATGGGCCCTGTCACTGATGTGATGTGGGCTGATACTTTTATGTTTTACTCATTGGCTTGTTTTTTCACTGTGCTGATTTTCAGTTATTCACTCCTCTATAGTTAAAACCTGGTACAGCCAGTAGAGATGTCGACACTAAACATCAACAGAACTGTTTGTAATTAATTTTAGCCAATAAAATAATAAAAACATAAAACTGTAAAACTTTAGTTGATAAAGTCAAGTTGTCATAAAATGCTGTGAGTGTAACTTATTATAATACAGCACTGATTTATCTGCAGCTGTTGATCAAGTAATCAACTGGTAAATCAACAGGCAATGAACAGCTGGACAGTAGTTTTAGTGACCGGTCTGCTCCGTCCCTCTCTCACTGTGCAACGTATGACGGGGCCTCTTCACGTTTTCTGATGTTGTACAGACAAAGCTAGTGGTTGGTTAAAATAATCAGATTAATTGATAATGAACATAACTGTTAGGGAACAAATGTAAAGTGTGACGTTTGAAACCTCAGTGTTTTCACTGTGCCTCTCTGTTTCTGCCTTTTCTTGCTGATCTGATGTCACCGTTGTCCTTTGTTTCCACTCTGCTTCTGTGTGTTGCATCGTCTCTGTGACAGATCATCTGCTGACATGTGAGACTTGTGAGAGAAACCTGAGCCGGCTGCTCGCCTCACCTGTGCAAACACACAAATGCTGCTTCAGATACTGGTTGATGGCTCAGTCCGCCTGAGCTGTCACTCGTCTCCTCATTCTGATCTGATTTGCCATTAAAGATGACTCGACAGCTTGTTTCACCAGAGCATGAAGAATCTGAAAAACATGGACCAGAGGTCCCAGCACGCAAGCACACTCAGCAAACATGAGCATATGTCTGTTCAAATGAAAGGCACATTTACAGAGAGGAATAGGCCTGATGAAATAAAACCCTGCTGCCCAGAGAAAATAGAGACAGATATCTGACTCCTCTTCATCATGGAGGAGGAGGACAATTGCAATGTTGACAGGAGGAGGAGGAGGAGTGGGTTTGCAGACACAGACTGCAGCCAATGATGACGACACAGGACGTATTTAAATCCAAATCAATGCAGATGGACTCGACTTATTTTAGGTGTCAAACTGTTCTCAGATCAGTTTTAACACCAATAAAGCTGAAATTGAACTGAATATTTGTGGACTGATATGAAGAAAACACACTTTTGGAAGCTGTTGGTCGTGTTGTGAAGCTCAGGGACTGGGTTGTGTTCAGGAGAGCAGGACTGTGCTGTGGTAACGAGACGGTTGTTGGATCACAGAGCTCCGTGTGGCGTGGAGTGTCTGTTCCAGAGTTCAGTTGTTCTGCTTTGACTCTGGACAGGCGCTGTTTTCCTGTATGTGTTTCTGCTGGTTACTGAAGGCTAAAACGAGTGTTTATCTGTAAAATGTCCCAGGGGTTTCATCCTTAGCCCTTATATACTCAGTTTACCGTCATGTGGTCACGTGAGAAGCTGAAACATTTTTTGGGATGGGTGTATCAGGAGAAAGCTGATACAAAGGTTTAGGCTGTTTTGAGACTAAATAAAGTAAAACCGATCAGTTTTATAGAAAGTGTCAATCATTTCTCTTGTGCTGGCCAGGAGTCCAAAACCCAAATGTTGACAACTTAATCAAACCTGTGTCTGGACATGTAGCTGCACTGTTCAGGGACTTGTGGACTCGTTCCTTCAGGTCAGGCCATGTCTGACTTTATTGCCTGCAGTAAAGCTTATGCTGTTTGTGTTCTGCAGTATGACGGGTTTTATTTCAGTCTACTGTCCATGTAATCTGAGAGTCTGAATGTAAATGGCGCCATCTCGTGGCCGTACTCGAGTGCAACCAGATGGGTGAAATAAGCATACAGCAGTTGTTGCAGCTCCAGCTGTGTAGGATTGTGGGGCTTGAAGTGTTTGTTCGGTGAACGAAGTCTCTGGTGTTCTGTGTATCAGGAACCTTCTCTCTGTCGTGTTCTTGAACCTGAAGTGCTCGTCAATCTGTGTGTTCTCAGCCGGAGCGTCTCCGTCCTCAGCGGGAGTTCGTGAAGTCCCTGCTCTGCATCGGGAAGCGTCTGGCCACGCTGCCCACCAAGGAGCAGAAGACCCAGCGGCTGATCTCAGAGCTGTCGCTGCTCGCCGGCCCGAGTGTGGCTGCCCACCGCCGAGCACCAGCACCACGTCTGCAGGATCCCTCACACCCAGGCCGTGGTCCTCAACTCCAAAGACAAGGTAACACCTGACTAATATAAAAGAGCAGTGAGAGAAGCGAGACTGTCAGTAAAATCCTCTGGGCCTAGCAGTTCAAAACTAATCCCTATCACATTTGGAAATCCAAGATTTAGTGATCCAGGATCAGAAACCTCAGCCAGATTCTTTTATTTCAAAGCAGTTCAGGATGAGATCACCTTGATCCAGATTTTCTCTCTTCAATATTCTGGATCTGGTCATTGTGGTGTGTTAATCCCACTTGTCTCCACCTAGTGGATATGAAGAACAACATGAGGAGGACAGCAGTTTGGAACATCATCCTCAGATAAGGATCACCAGTTGTGAACTCCTTGATCCTGGTTCTTATGTTTCAAATCAGAGACACATCCAGGCTGTTAGCCTAGCTTAGCACAAAAGACTGGAAGCAGGGGGAAACTGTTAGCTTACCCCCATCAGAAGAAGAAAATCAGCTCGACAGATCTTGATGCTGAAGTTTTAACCACACTTATTTAGAAGAATGTATTTGCAAATGCTTGTTCAGACACATCTCCAGCTCCAACAGGTGTGGCCAGGGTGAAGTCTGGCAGGAGGATCCTGAGCTAAAGATGTCCCCATTTAGACTAGGGCTGCAGCTTAATATAATGTTCATCACTGATTAGTCTTCTGATGATTTCAGTTAATTGATTGGTCAGTAAAACACTGAAAACCAAACAAGACATTTGTTCAGAGGATCCTCTGTCATCCTCCTGCTCCTCAGGCTCCCTACATCATCTACGTGGAGGTTTTGGAGTGCGAGAGCTTTGAGACGTCTCCTGTCCCAGCTCGGATCCCGGAGACCAGGATCCGTTCGGCTCGTTCTGCAGAGAACCTGGACTGTGGCGGCGCTGTCACCATGGCGAACGCTAACGGGATGACATCAGAGCACAGAGCAGGAAGTTTCTCTACCGTCCCGAACTACGACAACGATGACGAGGCGTGGGCCACCGACGACATCGGACAGCTGCAGGTGGAGGTGAGGCACGGCCACGATGCTACATCACATGATCTTATCATATACCTTTCAAATCACAGCAGTCATAACAACTAGCGTGCGTCAAAGATGAGTTGCAGGACTAAACTAACTATGGCTCAGGTGATGTGAGCCCTCAGTTTGCGCTAGCACGTTAAACACAACATGTCCAGGTTTTCCAGCTTGTTTTTGCTGCTCCTTCCTGGGCTACAAATGATCAGTCCAGCTTTTATTAGTTTGGTGATTGTGATGATCAGTTTAAAGCTGGATCCAGTAATGACAAAGGTGCATCTGAGCAAACAAGGCTTTTGTACTTCAGCTGACACTAACATCACTGCAGCAGCTCGTCCTCGACACTCAGGAAACTGACTATAAATCATATACTGTAAATTGTTTCAATTTAAAAAAAAGTACTGAACATGGGAGACAAGGCAACAGATACATGACATTACAAAAGGATATAGTGTTTTACAAGATTGTAGTGTGTGAAGTGTGGGTATTTCCAACTTATTCAGTCTATAAAACGCAATAAATAAATTAAAAAAATTACCAATAATAATGATGATAACAGTACTGCTAATAAAATCAGCTTGTTACATTTTTAGAGGTTGGTGGGAATGTTTGTGGCCTCAGCCCCAGGTGTTTGGTTCAAGTTGAAATATTTTAGAAATGGGTTCCATGTGTCATGAAAAGCTGATAAACTATTCTTGAGTGGATGTCATTTTCTCTGTGATGTATTCTATCGGAAGGTTGGTCCACTGGTTTATGTGTAGTGATTTTTGATTTCCAGTTTTGAAAGATTGTTTTCTTGGCAATAGCTAAAGAAATGAGGAGTGGGTTTTTGTATTTGATTGGTAGGTGGTCAACTTCTGTGATATTACCGAGTAAGCAAAGTGATGGACAAGGAGGGATTCTACAGCCCAAGATGGTGGAGAGTTTCTTCGTCACTGCTATCCAGGGAATGAAGTGGTTGGCAGGTCCAAGTAGCATGAAAATAACTGTCAGTGCAATCTAGAGTGCATTGCGAGCCTGTGTCAGTGAAACCCATTTTGAACATTTTACTTTTTGTAATATGGATCCTGTAAATGGCCTTGTATTGTATAAGTTGCTAGTTTACATTGCTGAATTGTGCTCAATTGTGAAGTTAAAGAATCAAGTGATTTAAACCATTTATCTGTGGGTGTTGTGGGAAGCATTGTAAACAGGTGGTTGAGTTGAGGTAGAGTTTTCATTTTGACAGTAGCTATTCGACCGATGAGTGAGAGAGGAAGACTGGACCAGCATTTAAAATCATCTTCTGTCTTTTTTAGCAGGGGAGTGTAGTTGAGATTAAAAAGTTCTGATGGCCTGGGGGAGATATTAATACCTAGATATTTAATGTTTTCTGTGCAGAATGGGGGGGGATGAGTCTTGAGCTGCAGAATCCCAGGCATCCTCAGAGTGGTAGTATGGTGGATTTATTCCAGTTTATTGTGTAGTTTGAGATCTTAGAAAATGTGTAAAGTTTCACGTAGAGACTTATAGGGATAATAATAAATCATCTGCATAAAGACTAATTTTATGTTCTGACTAAGTATCTTGTAGTCCTTTAATTATATTGTTCTGTCGTATAGCTGCTGCTTGAGGCTTGATGAGATATTAATACCTAGATATTTAATGTTTTCTGTGCAGAATGGGGGGGGATGAGTCTTGAGCTGCAGAATCCCAGGCATCCTCAGAGTGGTAGTATGGTGGATTTATTCCAGTTTATTGTGTAGTTTGAGATCTTAGAAAATGTGTAAAGTTTCCCGTAGAGACTTATAGGGATCCTGTAAATATAATAATAAATCATCTGCATAAAGACTAATTTTATCTGAAGTAAGGCAAGACTTAACTGTGCAACTGTGAAAGTGTAAGCAGCTAGTGGACTGTAAACAAAGCTGAGAGCTTGTAACAAAGAAATGTGTCACCCAGTAAAGTTGTGTGCACATGTTGTAAATTAAAGTCTTTAATGAGATGTTTTGTAGGTGTGCACTGTCATTATTACTAAATACAATGATGCTCAGGACTTGTTTGATCTGCTTCAGTGAAAGTGTGAGGTCCTCTTGTGCTTTGTCCTGCAGCTACTGTAGTTTTATTGCTATCTTGTCATCTTCCATCTGTGCAAGTACCCCACTACAAGCTAAGCAGCTGAGACCTGACTGATCCAAATGGCAGCTCTTCCAGACTCCATACCAACTCATGAGGACCCATTTCACGGTGGGGACCTAAATTGAGGTCCCCATGGGCAAGAAATTGAATTTTAGGGTGGTAACATGGTTTAGGGTTAGGATGAGGTTAGGTTAAGGTTAGGGTTAGGCAAGTAGTGGTTCTGGTTAAGGTTAGGGTTAGTCTACAGGAAATGCATGTAAGTCAATGTGAAGTCCCCATGGACTACGAAACATAAAGTGTGTGTGTGTGTGTGTGTGTGTGTGTGTGTGTGTGTGTGTGTGTGTTGTGTGTGTAAAACATACCAATAAAGGTGATTGTCCTTATCCTTATTGTTGCCCTAGGTGATGTGTACAATGTTCTTATCCCATGGATAAATGACTCTCCAAACCCAAATCTGTGTAATGTACAAAAGAGAAATGTCCAGTTAACTTTGTCAAATGCTTTCTCTGCATCTAGTAATAAAATTATGGTTTTCGTTTGTTTTTGTTGAGCATGATTAATCAAATTACACAATCTACAAATGCTATATGAAGCATTTATGTTTTTAATGAAACCTATTTGGTCTGGGTGGATTAATATTAGAGTGACTGTCTCTATTCTAGTGGCTAGGGCTTTGGTAATTATTTTTAAATCTGAATTAATAAGTGATAAGGGACGGTAACTAGAAGGGTGGATTGGGTCTTTGTTTGGTTTTAATAAGAGTGTCATGATGGTCGTGTTAATGTGTGTTGGTATTGTGGAGGTGTCTTTTAATTTCTGTGGTGACTCTGAGAAACAGTGGTGATAGCATTTGCCAAACATGTTTATAAAATTCAGCTGGTAGTCCATCAGATCCGGGTGATTTGTTATTTGGCATTGAAATCAGTGCTTTATGGAGTTCATTGATGGTGAGAGGAGCATCTAATCTGTCAGCTTGTTCTCTGGATAGTGTTGGCAGTTTTAAACTAAGAAAATGTCTATTTCTGATGAATTTGGGTTGTAATTGGGGGAGTAAAGTTTACTATAGAAGGCTTGAAATACGTTATTAATATCTTGTGGACTCTAAACAATTTCACCTCCAGGATTAAGTATGGGTGGAATTAATGCTTTTTCTTTTTTGCATTGTAATAAATTTGCCAAATAATTACCTATTTTGTTATTATACTGAAAGTGTTCACTGTAGAATGTATATGTGGGCATAACAGTACAAAAAACATAGACAAGTATACATTTCTACATGGTGTGATCAAACAAAAACACAAACAGAATAACAGAGTAAAAAGAGGGGCGCTGATACAAGGGATGGTTGTAGGAGTCCGTGTGGGATAGGGGTTGCTCTGTGTATGGATGTAAGGGGCTGAATTATTTAACATATAGTGTAGCAGTCACTGGTTGGTAGGTAGTCTGTAGAAAATCAGAAGAGGCACGGAGTAATGTTGGAGTCGCAATAGAGCTGTCCCTCAATGTATACAGTCAGGGAAAAAATTATTTGAACCACAGCTGATTTTGTAAGTTTGCCCACTAACAAAGAAATGATCAGTCTACAATTTCAATGGTAGGTTTATTTGAACAGTGAGAGACACAACAATAACAAAAAAATCCAGAAAAATGCATTACAAAAAAAGTATAAAGTAATTTGCATTTTCATGAATGAAATAAGTATTTGATCCCCTATCAGTCAGCAAGATCTCTGGCTCCCAGGTGTATTTTATACAGGTAACGAGCTGACATTGGGAGCCCTCTCAGCTCGTTACCTGTATAAAA